ACAACACGAAACACCCACCCCGACCATTCGGAGGCTTTCGAAAGCATCGCAGGATATACCATTGGACCCATATCTCAGATGCATGGAAGGCTTGCATATGAGAGCGCAAGTATGCACAACTGCTATGTAGTTGGGTACATGTGTCTACACATGTGAATATAAGAACGCGCATATCACGTATAAATGTTTGCGTCTGCTTGAATACGTATCGAATACAGGTCTAATCGAAACTGAAGCAACAGGTCCCTGTGAAACACTTGTCGGTTCGTATGGACAACAGCATTTATATTGAAGTAAATTTTTTTCAAAACTAATTAGCGNCATAGTCTCATTCAATTTAGTTACTAACTGTCAGTGCCTACTCTTCATAGAATTTAAGAGATTCCTCACTGTGCCTCCCGCATCAGGTTTAGATGTTGATACTGTTCTTTTGAGGTTCACATAATCTTCAGTCGGTACTTTTCTACCGGTGAGTTTGAAACGATTTGTCTACTAAGACTGTTCACCTCTTGCCATGACAAATTCGTTTTCTTAATGTGTTCGTCATCCTCGTCGTACAGTGGAAAACAGTGAAGCGAGTTTCGTTGTTCGCTGCCAAACTCATAATGCATACAAGGTTAACGGGAATGTTTCAAGGAGGATATGGATTGGGTCTATTTTAGGGGAGGGAGAGAGAAAGCGAATCTCTATGGTCAGCTTACAGAGTACACCTTCCAGCAGTACACACACACACACTATTTCAAGCATTGTGGTCTTAATGTGTTGATTTAACTATTCCACGGAGTACCAATCTGCCTCGGTTCTCTTCGGTTTTTGTTTGTACACAAATAATCCTCTCTTCACCCGTAATTTTATCGTCTGTAAACGTACTGACGATTTAGCTACTAATTGCCTCTCGGCTGACAATGATTGTTTTCTGCATTTTACGATATTCTGACCTAAAATTTTAAACGTTCCCTTCTCCCCTTGGTTGTACGGAATTTAATTCGATGCGTTTATTTTACAATCTGTGTGAAAAATGGTTGTCATCGTTTGTTTGCTTCAAATATTCTCTTATTTACCCTTCTCATCTAGCGATTGATAGAAAATACCCTTCGATAGTTAATCGGAGCTGTCTTGGGTTTGACTTCTCGCTCGTCCGTTGCACCTTGCAAAACATACCCACATACCCAAGCGTCTGAAGCAACCTGTGCTACCTGCAGGCGGGGTGGTGTTCTCCCACCAAAATGTAAGAACGAAACGGCAGTTTCCGAGGTTATATACCAGGTTTGCAATCCACGGTTCACCTGGTGAAATTTATGGAAAACCATTTGGAAAAAAACCTTAGAACCACAACCACTTCCAGTGATAATCTCCATCTTGATTGGGCGTCGAAGTTTAGTTGACATACTAAAGGTTAAATCCCTTCCAAAGGGCAAATGATTCCATGACCTGGGTCTCAGACCCCAGTGGATTGCGTTTTGCACACCCCACCCCACTGCATTTGGATTAGGGTTTGTTTAGTCATGGACTTCATTTGTGAATCCCCCGTGAAAACTCACCTGTTTTGATCTGGACAGCTAGACCGCTCACGAGCAAAATACAAACGGGTCTTCTTTGTTATTATTAGGACTTGTATTGGGATTTTTTTACCCTTAGACTGTACTCAGTGTGAAATGCGAATCTAATATATTGGGTACTCGGGGGATTAACGAAAACAACTCTACCAATGTGTTCTTGTGTTTCAACCACTTAAATCACATCGTAGCGTTTTTGCTGCAACCGTTGTTTTTGTGAAATACATACAGCTTCTCATTATGTGAGAGTAAGGTCAATCCAATAACGAAGGGTATTGGTATATTGTGTGTATTTTTGATTACTGTCATGCAAATTGCTAGTGCAACTAGAATAAACAAGATCCATCTAATAGGCTGACAAAAATTACACTGGAATCTTCGGAAAAAAACACCTGAATTAGACCGACTGCTAGTCAAAATTTGCACCAAATATGGCACTAGGGAAGGTTTATATGCAGTTATACACACACTAGAATGTGACGAATTTGTGATAGACGAGACAAATGTCACTCACAAACTGAAGTAACTAATGCTTCAAAGAAGCGTGGCTAATAATAACAGATCTTCGTCTTATCACTTTGGGATCTTTCTGCAAGAAACTCAGCGGACGCACCGGTACAGTAGTAGACAGAGTAAGTACCCCTGGAAATGCATATTGGAAAACAAAAGTGGCAATTGTGGGGCGTGAAACCCTAAGTTCTCTTAACTTGCCAATATGAATATCTGTGACAGTGAAGGTTACCGTTATTGGTAACCCATAGGTATATTCTATTATGTTTACTCTACACAATAGGTCAGAATCAATCGTGCCAAAGTTGGACGGAGAGGACTTCGCGAAACTAAAAATGTGTGGAACACACTTGATTGGACTATAACTAACCGAGGAACCGAGGTGAAATTTTTTCATATCAGAAAGATTTGAAAAATGTGTGCAGTCGAGGGTATTAGAGATAGTTTACCTTATGATTGTATCATTCGTTTGTCGGGTGAATGCTTCTGTGAACGGAGCCATCAGAGCGTCGACACAAGAACACTTTTAGAAACGAGATATCATTTATGGATTCTCTTTCGGATAAGGCCTAATTGAATTCCGTGACATATTATTGTAGTACCTACGTCGGGATTGCAAACACATTGCGTCACCCACATTAGATTTGTAGACAGCGGATTCTTCTAAGGATTTTCCAATTTAGTCGTGAAAATGACTGCAAACAATGGGCATAATAGCGAACTCATGACCTATTATTATTAGTGATCTTTCGGTCCCACTCCCTGCGCACATCCAAAAGTATGCTGATGATGTAGTTTTGTCTCAGACAATTTCATCCCCCTCGGACTTTCATTCTTTTACTGAAAACCTATCTCACATCCAACAGTTTTCTGACCAATCTGGTCTCAGTCTTAACATATCTAAGTGCGTAGAGTGTATTTTCAGTCTTTCCCGCTCCTCATTTCCAACGGACTCTGCTATTCTTAACGATAAACCTGTATCTAGAATGACCTCAGTGAAGTACCTGTGTGTCACCATCGACAGCAATCTTCGTTGGTCTACACATATTTACAACTGTGTGGGAAAACTGAGACGCCTATCTTTTCAGTTACGCAAACTCAGGCAATTCCGAACCCCACAATCAGTCCTATCATCTTTCGTTCAGCAATGCGTTTTACCCATTCTACTTTATTGCTCTCCTGTAGTGTTTCCCGGTCTTTTAAAACACGACTTCAAAACAATTCGCCGCGGTTTGGTGATAATCAGTCGTGCATCACTAATCCCAATTGATTTATTAATCACAGATCTCATTGATAGTCACATCAACTCTTGTTTTAAATTTGTTTACAAGATTCTAGACGACCCTCTTCATCCACTACATCCTGATCTATCGTCTTGCGTTCCCATCCGTCCACGCTCCTCATTTCGACAGCTACCCTCTCGCATTAACATTTATAAAAATTCCCCTGTACCCTACCTGGCCCGACTACTCACCAAAAAGGAACAGGTCTCAAATGAACTACATCAAATGCCTTGTACATGATACGTATATCACCGACCTTGTTTACCTTNATTATTTTTATTTCATTCTGCGTGACGAACAATGTACATTTCTAACTGAAATGCAAGCATATATGCTTACAAAAGTTACAAATACAAATACAAATACAAATTATTTTTCCCTAGTACATACTAAGTGTTTTACCCCAAAAGGAGTAAGCTCCCTAGCCAATGACATACTGTCAAGGGAAAGGTATGTGGGGAGCATCCAGATGAGAACCGATTTGCTAATTTTACTCTTAGAAGGAATAGGATTATAATTGTTTGTAAATGCAGAACGCATGGTTGTCCCGTCCTTCCATCTGTATATTGTTCCATTAAGTAGAAATTCTATGTTTTATATTCACATCTAAAAAAGTCACGTGAGTTCATTCACGGGTGGTCTGACTGTTTTTACAAAATTTTCTGTATCATTTCCGATGAACCGTATGACCCTTTGGAGTGTTACATTGGTAGAGAAAGAAGTAATATCCAGAGAGAAAATCTTGTTCGGTGCGGTTAATAGTTCAATCGGTGCCAAGCAAATTTATGCGTTCGTTTTAACTGTTCAGTGAAAGTTGCGCGCGATTGTCTCGCTGTGATTTTATATCGACTGAAACTCTCCTGTTTTATTCCTCTAATTAGGTTCCCAAAGTATCCATGGAAACGGACACATACAGAGTAAACGAACCCACTGGATGGGCTCCTGGTGATGTGTGTATATGCACGTGGTCTGAGGATGGAAGTTATTATTACGCGTCCATCACAGAAGCCGATCCAAAACAGGACCGTTATCTGATCACTTATTTCTACTACGAGAATCAGGAGACCAAACGTGCTACTGATTTGCACGAGCTCGGAACGGATTTCGAAATGCTCGTTGAAGATGATCAAAATAAAGCGGCCATGTTGGTGCGTTTTAACCTCTCCGTGTGTCTGTGTGCATGTGCATGTGTTCTCTTCTCCTCACCCCCCGCGCACCCTTCACCCTTACACAGTGTTACTTATCACGTCCACCTTTGTCTGTTTTTGTTTCTCTTTGCAGAACCGGAATGTACCGCGTTCGATGAAACCAAATGCCCACAGAGCGGAGGTGGAGCAGGCGTGAGTGATGATTACTTTACTCTAGTTTATCATCACTATATCATGTGTGTCAGATTCCTGTATGTTGCAGCTCCATAGTCAGACTTCTCAGATCGAGTTGATACCTCGGTGTTCTAAAATCGAACCCATCGTCTGTTTCACAAATACTCGTGAAATAATTATCTGAATGCGACGTACTGTGATGTCTACCTTGGTACTAATCTAATTTCGCATTCGAGTATGAACTCCCTTAGCGTTCGAACAGCTGATTGCGAACTGCCGGACACCACAGGCACCAGAAGCCCCGATGAGATGAACACCAGGGGATATCCCAAAAAGATAGGTTATTCCTCCAGTTAGAGTTATTACTTCTGCCCCCCACCCCACCCCACCCTCCACCCCTGCTCTGTAAGTGCGAATCGATCTGCCATCCTTGTTTCGGACACCCGAGCCTTACTGTTTTCGTGAAACCGCATAACATATTAATGCACATCAGTTGCTCTGCACTTGTCGGTCTCATTAGTTAGTATTCGACCATTGACTGACAGCGATATACGGTGCTGCATGTAGCCCTATGATTCATAAGTTGTACCTGTGCTTTAACTGAAGAACTTGTGAATAGCGTTCATCATGAAATCGTTTTCATAGGCTTAGATTTGCGCACTAAAGTTTTTTTTTTGCACACCAACAACCGATAACTTGTATGCTTTGGTCTTCATTACAATCTCATAAAATAATTCGGTGAAAAATGGGTAAAAAAAATCACGCAACTAATGTGCGAGTGACACATAAGTAGAATGAATTTGAGAGCATTACAGTTCGTGGTGCGTGTCCGTGCCACTTAAACTTCATATCTCCCATTCGTTGCCGCATCTCAAATTCCAATTCGATCAATCAGGCTCATTTCAATTAGCAAGGCGTTTACGCATTCCGTTACATCTCTTAGTTCTACAAACAGTGAAAGAAGTAAACCCTATGATCAGAAGGACCCACAATTCGATTATGGGAGTTGGGGACCCAAAATCCAGTGACGGGCTCTAGAACTAAATAAAACCTCGTAAGGGGTGCGTACTAATGAGCCTAACGACAATAAAGCTGTTTACAATCACTGTCGTCCACGTTTGAACATCCTCATTCCATGCCTTTCCGGGGCCACGGGGAGGGAGTGGCATTTCGGAACAAATAAGCTTAATCAGGAACACATGTCGCATTCATTTCTTGTGTCTGAACAATTCTTCTCGATTACTGGTAACTGGCCCCTGACCTCAACCGAGAAAGGATGCTCAAAAGTCTTTCGAAGGTGAGCATAATACGACAACGATTTGGCATTTTCCACCCTCAGGGATCATTCCTCCGAAAGGTACATGAAAACGCCCGTGGGTTGCACAGAATTCGCCTAACCAAGCAAATAGTCTGTTGCAGCCATGGATAAATTGGATTTATCATTGCGAAAAGAACTTTCGTTGCGTAGAACGCGATCTAATCTGAAATATGTCGGCGAATACCACGTGGCTGTCGGAGNNNAATTTACATTTTCCAGTACTTCTTCTCCGTAGTTTTTAGTTTGACAATTGAATCAACTCAGCTCTCCTGTAACACGAAACGTACCGCCTTCACCATTGCCCCAGGCTGATCGGAAAAACTCACAGCACACTTGACTTTTCTTGTGTACGACGATCCGCGTACTACCACTGTTCCCCCCGGAAACTGTACAATAATTGCAAAGATTATATTTGTTACTAGATTGTGATGGGACAAAGTTAGGGGACCGGTGACCGTTTTTTAATCTCTTCGCTCAGTGTGCTCAACAGTGGATAAAGTAAACCTCACAGCGACGACAACCTACAATTCGGGGAAGTGAATCGGTAACCTAATCCCCGGTACTTGAACTTGTGATCTACGTAAGATCCCAATAGAATATGCGCGGTGTAAAGCTAGACCACAACAAATTTGGCTTGCGGTAGAAGTATTTGAACCTCGAGCCCAATGGGTTTAGAGTACAATGGTGCGAACAATTCACTGCGCTTGACCGCTACATAAGGAACGAACTACATTCCTAATTGTGCTTTGATCACGCGATTCGAGAGACAAATTTCTTCCACGCGGTTCAATCCCCATTCACACACAGCATTTTTAGCCTTTTTTATTTTGGTACTTGTGAAATATCTGTGAATAAACTTCATCCATTTGCTCATGTCATTGCAGCTATTCTTATCTTCACACCGATTTAAACTTTAATTCGTCCAAGCATTAGCACCTTTTCCGACAACTAGAGTGTATCAGTAAACCACAAGCACAGTTCCCTATGGCATCCTGTCAAGACTTCACACACTTCAATGAACACATCCCTCACACATAGTTTAGTCGCTGCCACCGGCATGATTTGGACCCTATGGCCCGACGTTCGACCCTCGCCACCATCACCTAACTTTAGTTTTATTTTCGCGGTCTCATCTTTCAGTCGGAGATACTGACGATTATAATGCAATCTTTCCTCTTAATATGTTCATGGCACCCTGCCTCGATGATGTGTTGTGGTTTATTATCATCACTTCAAGATTTCTCTCAGTCATTTAATTCGTTCATTCCGTTGACAACACCCTCAACTCGTGTCCCTACCTACTTTCATACACAGGAAAAAGACCTCATGATTGTCGCCATATTTTAATACATTCGGTAAACCTCATGTTTTTGAGGGAAAAAGTTCAGCTGGGACTGGCCTTAATAAACCGCTGCAGCCTGTTACAAAACTGTATCGCCTGAATCATTTACTACGGATTTCGTTCGGTTACAAATAACTGTCCTCCCCAGGAATACCTTCATCTACGTTTTCAATGAATCCAATTTAAAATCCACTTTCCAACACCTTTCCTCTCGACTTTCCCGCACTTGTTAGCGAGGAAAAATTCGCCACGGTGCTTAATTTCAAAATGAAAAAACCTGTTACCGGTGAGAAGACTCGTCCGGTTGAATTTGAACATACTGCAGTAAGACAACAACCACCATCATCGACAACCAGAGCTAGTCCAGCTGAATCTCCCGGAGACCGACTTGAACCAGATCCAGTGACGAATGCAACTTTGAACTCGGTCCCCAACTCCTTTGTGTCCGGTGATCATAGTTCACCTCTGCAAGCCGCCCAATCGGCTATCTCGAATTTGGCTCGGTTGAGTAATGTGGACCAATTTCATTCCATGCCAAACTCCGCGTGGCAAGCCCTGTTGATCAGTTGGTTCATGTGTGGTTATCATACTGGATACTATGAAGTGAGTTGGACTTTGTAATTGTAATTGTCATGCGTTTGTCACAAACTGATAATAGTCGTATCTGACGTTATGCATTAGTACCTACATGGAATAATCCTGAGAAGTTCCCCAGAGGAAAAGCACTTGAATCAATGTTTGAGTTTTTTAGACGATAGTTCAACTCATCGGTCCCATGTACCCATCACGATTAGGTGATCGGACCCGTGGAGTGATTCCGGACGACGCGGGTCAATAATCTACTCATTAGCAAGAATGAAAAAAAACGTATTCAGGTCGGAGTGAGCCTGTACGTAGTGTTTTAGTCATGTTCATATGCTGGGCCCGGTCCGCAATATATTTGACATCTTTGATTGAATAATGACAGAATGAGTGAAGCTCATAGTCATGTGGAACAACTCTGTGGTTATGATTGGAGGTCGGTGACCTAAGTCCTGGAACTAGAAGAGGCGTACGAACCACATCTACCCACACCTTTGCGGTTGCAGCANAGGTCGATTGGAAAAATAAATAAAAAAAATTAAACCCTAGAACTTGAAGGTTGTAAACCCTAATAGGATAAGGATGGCATTGAGCTGGGAGATACCAAGTTCCGAGGTCAAATGTGATCTATTAAAGAATCAGAAAGGTGTCTGGAAGATGACTGTTCGGTTCCGTGCAACCGGCATACAATACTAATCGTATACTATAACTATGTAGATTATAGCCGCTTAATGTAGGATACGGAAACGACCATCCCTAAGATATCTTCCTATTATGTTTTGACGAACTTCGAAAGGACACAGTCACCCATTGGAAGCTCTGAAGTTAGTATGCAGTCTTCTTACTACATGATGAATTCCTTTTTCCTTTATAAGTGATGGAAAATAAGACGGTTCCTCCATTGTGTAGGCTAAAACCAGCACCATATTAGGTCATCAATCTGGTAAATGACTTTATCTCAGGCAAAATTTTACAGCTGCCTCATTCTGTCTCCTTCATCCAATTTCTCGAGTATTATGTTGCATCTTTCCTTGAGATTGTATTCATATCCACACTTTGAACTCGATTTCGTCCAATAGAGGGGCTTTTATCGCATGAGTGAGATACGTATTCTGTTCTAGACAGGCATGAAAACCCTAACCAGGAGACTCGGTCATATACGTTGCGTTAAGTTCCCTGGATGGGGACCTCATGATCATTATCACGGGTGGTCAAAAACACCGAGTGGCTGTTTAAAATAATGACACTGGTACAGCTATTTCGTATCCTTGCAACTCTATATAAAATTCTCTATCTTTGCTTGACTCTACTCGCAACATTCCAATCTTCATTCTGCTGTTCTGTTCAAATGGGCAGCCGCGCGAAAATGCATGCTTGATGGTTGTAAAAACTGAAAGTGAAACTTTTCGTACGGAATGATGCGAACAAATGGGCTACCGTTCGCCAAGTAAGCGGAGGTGGGAAAGCATCAGCTAGTCATACTACACCACACTATTGCTTGATCCGCTACTGACCGCGTTACTGGTAAGAATTGCATTTGGTGATTCGTCGGTTGACCAAACACTTACATTCATACTGATTCTTCGTTATCAAGCCGCAAACAGGTGGGTACCCGGTCGCGTTAGGATTTATTCAACCACAAAAACAAGTGATTTGATTTGAGCAGTTGATGATTACTGAAATTTGAAACGTTCCGATTCTTGGTTGGCCGGGAATCGTTTTCGGAGTCCTCAAGGTACCGACTAGAGTTACGGTGATTCTTTTTGTTAGATTGAAGTTACGTCAAGGATTATTTCTCGGTGTTCACTGTCGCCGATATGCTTTGGGCCCCATGGTCCGAGGTTCGATCCCCGCTACCACCACCCAATTTTGGTGGTAGGCAGCTTTGCTGCCCTCTGATTCGCTACCACGCCCAACCCATCGATTCCCTATGTGGTCGCTACTCCAAGTCCCGGGTCTTAGGTTACCGGTTTCCATCACTGAAAAGCAGATCCTTGTGATTATGGGTTTCAAACCGCAAGTGCGTGTGATAAAAGAAATTTGTGTTTCGATCATCTTTATCGTTAATTGCATTGACTCTTTTGACCGGAGGAACCGCATAACAAAGAAACTCCGGTGATCACTGTGCAAAATCATAGAACATAAAACAAATTTATCAGGCAATAAATAATTCCGAATCTATCGGAAAGCGCTGTATAACCTGCTTCCATCTAACCAAAATGGGGAAGTGATGATATTTGCGGGATTTAAGTATCCCATTTATTACAAAACAACGCTCTTCCTATCGGTTTAGATGGGATTCGATGCAAGTAAGCCCATAAATATTGCCATAGAATCATTGCAACAGTTTTCAAGGCGATTTATCCACTCCTTAAATGGTGATTTCAAATCTTGCCATAAAATTCATATCGCGCTTACAAATCTATGAATCGATTGGTAGAGATCACTGGAATGACATACATGATGAGCTGCGAAAGCCGTTAAACCAACCGTGCACTTCCCCGAGTTTTGTACATGCGTTTTTATATATTACTCGTTATGAAACTTTAGCAATCACACTCTGTTTACAGATCGATAATTTCTTTTTTTCTCATCCATAGGCGTTACAGAATCAGAGCAAGTAGAACCGGAACACATCACTGGACGTGCGAAAAGAAGACTTCTGTTCGCATTCGCGCTCTGCCTTTGTCACATACTTGTGTTTGTCAAATAAGATCTTATCTCTTGACATTTTTGTACAGTCTACTAGACTTTTTAACATCACATGCTGGTCTTCTGCCCTTACCAAGTACGGTTACACATACGATGCAGGGTGAACTAAGCCAGACAGTATTTCATTCTCGACTGTTATTAGATGAATCTGTAATGTAGATGGGCAGAATGTGTTCAAATATAAGAAAATTCGGAAGCAGCGGAATGTTCTCCGTACATTAGGAAGAAATTAAGGATAGACAGTGCTCAGTTGTGATTCTGAAATGGTCTGTAATATTCACCTGTGTATGGATCCTGAAAGTTTCGCGGTACAATTCAATTCAGGCTGGTGATATGATTGATAATATGAAAAGATTGAATTGTCTTTGGTGATCTGACGAGAATATTTGTGAATTCCCCCCCCCCTCCCGAGTTCTTAAAACGCCCCGTTCTATCGAAATGTTTACGGGTTGTCCGATCCGTCAATCTATTTGTTATGGCCAAACTGCTATCAGGCAAAGAGCAGACTCATTTAATCACAATTGGTGACTTGGTTAAAGGGATTCGTAAGACACTGCCCCACTCACTCTGTCTCACACTCACCATATTCTCTCTGTTTACCTCCCTTCCGGGACTCGAATAGCTCATCTTCTGTTTGACAGTCGAAACCCTTACCCCTGAGTAATACGGTCTACAGTCAACACCTTGACCGAATGGTTATAGAAATTTGAAATGTTAGCAAGGATATAAAAGTTCGAACTGCTGTCCAATTACCATAAGGATGGACGAACGGTTCCGTGCTGCTTATCGTTCATCAACACGAATTCCATTGATAATGAAAGATATATTCAAAATATGGGGGTGGATTAACGGCCTAATGAGTGAAACGCCCCTTAGGACCATAAAACTGTGCCTGATACCAGTACGATACGAATAAACCCACACCAAAATCACTACATCTTCAACTTGTATGCTAAGTACAGTCTGAGAGTAGTCGATAGGGGAATTCTTGAAGCCGTGAGAATCAATGTGATTGTTCTGGGATTACGCAACCTCCGTTGGAGGTGGGAGTTGCAATAGACTAATACAAACCAGAACGGACTTGTTGGAACAAGACACCAAATCCTCTGGACAGTCATTTCAGTTACCGGACGCAGCCATCAAACCTTGGGCTTGAGATAACCACACTCCAACTTGAGGTGTGATTCGTTGGACCCAGTATTAGAGTTGAGGTGTTGAGGTTCTCAAGTCGGAGAGAGAAAGTGATCGTACCGACTTAGTGATTTAATGGTCTTCAGGTGAGTTTTCTGGCTGTACGAAGGCTGGGCAAAACGTTTCCGGATACACAAAAGTAACCATTACATTTTCTCTAAGTATTCTCCACCAGCGTTCTTACACAGTTCCATTCGCTTAAACCATTTGGTGAAATAGATCTACCATGCCGAAGCGGGTAACCCTTCAACCAGTTCAATGAGGGCCTCCTGTGCAGCTCGTATTGAATTCCACGTATCATGCGCTGGACATTTGGGAACACAAAAGTCACACGGAGCCAGGTCTGGACTGTAGGGTAGGTGACCAACCTCCTGGATGTGTTCTCCAGCCATTGAATCGCCGACAACAGGGATTTGTGTACAGGTACACTGTCATGGTGCAGCAAGGTCTCGTGCTCCAGTCTGTGGACGATGCCTAGCAACAGCTTCCAGCTATTTCGGCAGCCTGCGGGTGACGCACCAGCCTCTGGTAACCGCACTTTGCTGCATGAGCGGTAGAGTAGCCATATGACCGGCTTTGGACATGGACACAGCCAATTTCTACTTTACCACACTGCGCCCTCGTCGGAATTTCTGAGGCGACTCTGCACCAACCGGCGTTCACTAAGTCGATTGTTACTTGGTCTCTGGATCGAAATTGTACACCGGGGTTTCATTACCACTGTCGATCTCCCAAACTGCATTTGAACAACCATCGTGAAACCTGACAAGCGTGGTGCGGCACCAATTCATCCTAACTGCTTTCTGTGTCTCACTGAACTGGTGGGGTACCCAGAGTAGATAAACCTTTCTGAAGTTGAGCTTCACATGTAGAATGGTGCGCATTGATCGTAGAAAGTCGTCACCTTCCAGTGACCGTCTAAGTTCCATCCTTACAGTCCGAGTATATCGACCCTTACGTCTTGTTAGCTGTGCTCGTCTGCTGATATCTGGTTCTCCGAGTTGCAATCATTGAGCACTATTCACAATAGGTTGCAGTTCACGTTTTTCCTTGCGCAGTCATCTATCACGTGTACTGCGTATCCGGAAACTTTTTTCTCAGTCCTCGTGTTCAAAGGTCATATGAAGCCTCTCCGTTTCCTGTCCATATGAATCCATTACTGATGTGCGAACAATGAGATCAAATTCCTCTAGAAGTTATCCAATACGGAAGGTATATTCCGCCGAATACTATCCGTTACCCTCGTATCTTCTCTCACTAGGTCACAGGAAAGTAGTACGAATGAGAAATACTGTCTCGTTGTCGATTCCAGACTGACTAGTTTTCTGTTGTTAACGGCAATTTTGCACACTG